CCCCAAAACCCCAAAACCCCAAAACCCCTTTTCCTCCACCACCACTGTACAACCTTCATATCTTCTAATAACCATTATTCTGAGGCCAAACTTCCAATCTGAAGCTTCTCAATGCCCATGCGCTTGACTGGTGAATGAAGGTGGCTGATCAGCAGAGTTTTGGGAAATTTTTAAGGAAGAAGGAATTGGATAGTTTAGTGTTGAATTGTGGGGTTTAAGGGGCTAAGGTGTTTTTGAGGGCAGAAGTTGTTAAGGTAGAGGCAAGAAAGGAATTTTGAGGTTTTTGGGAATTTTGGAGCTTTTGGGGGTTGGAATAGGTGTTGTGGTCTTTGAATGGACTAAGTTGGGAGAGAATTTGGGTAATAGATATCTTAAATTTTCGTCTTGATCTTTAACCATGGTTGTATCTAAAAGTGGAATTTTGGCTTTGAACTCAGGAATGACTTATGAAACCTCTCCAATCAACCCTCAAAATGCACCTAAAACCTCTCTAATCTCAGGAACCACAACAAACCTGATCTTCTCAAACTTTGGATGCTCTCACAACACCACATTCTCCGTTTCAAAATCCCTTATCATAATATACCCAAATCCCACACACCTACTCCATTTACTTCTCCCCTCTCTCTTATTCACTCTACCCCATTCTCCACCAAGTCCCAACTCTCAACCTCCAAACCTAATGCATTCAGCCTCCCTTCCTCTCCTCCAAATCCCTTGTGTTTCACCCCACCCTCCCTCTTACACAAAGCAAGCTGTGGATGCTTAAGCGTTTACTTTTGAGCCTGATGGTACACTCTCTCAGATCTATTGTTGTGTGTGTAAAGAGTGGGCTTAAAACATAGTTGAAATGCGTTAAGTGTTTAGAGTTTTGGGATTTTTGGAGTTTAGGCATTAAAAATTGAGACTTGAGAGTCAGATTTAGAAGAAATTTTTTGGGGGTAATTGAGGGGTTGGTGAGGTGAAGGTATCGGATTTGGGAATTGGTTTGGTGTTGGGATTTTATTCGAAATTTTAGGATTTTAGCATGGGATGAGATATTTGAATAGTTTACAAGGGGTTAAAATATGCTTTATTATATATAAAAAATTAAAAAGATTACTATCTTTCTAACCAAGTATCCTTATGAATATCACAACTCTGAAGCATTATTATCTCCACAATTTCCAAAACCACCATAAAAAACTCAAAACCCCCCAAAATTCCCACCCATATCACCCCTCTCACCTCCTCCTAACCCATCTCTCTCCCCATCTCTCTCCCCAACCCCTCCCCCACTCACCCCCAATTTAAGCCCCTCTGCTCCTAAAATTCCTCTAAAGTCTTCACCTGAACCTGTAATTCCCCTAAAAAGACTTTACTCGTAGGCTCCAAGTTGGCCTGGAGGAATGACTGAAGGGACTTTTAATAGGGAAATGGGGGAGGGTGATAGGGTAAGGGATAGCGGTGAGAAAGGGACCTGGTTGGTTTTGGGGATAGAAGGATTGGTGAAGAGGTTTTAGGGGGGTTTTGGGGGTTTGAGATAAATTGTGGTACTGTTTTTGTAGGGCTTGGATATTGTATTATAGTAAGATGTTGGATATAAATATTTCGTTCTAATTGGAGATCGTTGGGGTTTTGGGGTTTTGGGGTTTTGGGG